ATTATGCAGGTATGATAAAGGATCTTGATCCCATTAATGATGTTTTTGTAATCAGAACTGCAGCTTCACAAAGTACCAAAGGTAACTGCCATTGGAGGAAAAAGGAATATTGTACTCTCATCAGGTTTTAGTGAAACTAATACATGCCTTTGATACTGCTTGTGCTGAATAGGTTATGCTGAAAAGTAATGCATTCATAAATTGTTTGGAATGAGTATCAAAAGTGCACTGCTGGTATGCTTGTACTCCATTCAAATGAATTGATTAGCATCCATGCAAAATACTGCTGCAGTCCATTACTCTCCATTAAGTAAAACAATACATAAATCAAAAATCTCTTGGCATTTCTCCCACTTATATAATTTTCTCCTTTTGCATCTGCCAAGCTGAAAGCTCCAGTGAAATCTGGGGAGCTCGGGGAAAACTTACTCGAACTAGAAGTAAAGTAGCCTCGGACATGCCTTCAGAGCTGTAGACATGGAGTTCTTATGGATGAACTCCCAAACCTCGAGTACAGCATGAACCTGGTGAGCCACCCTCCGGTATGTGTAGGGAGGGGAAGGTCAAGTCGTCAGTTTACTTGGGGAACTCTGTGGGAGTTCTTGGGAACGCACTAATGCGTTGTTTCTGCTAAACGAACATCACTCCCATGCCGTGTATCAGCAGCTTTGCCCGCAGAAGTTCCTCATCCACCAGGTAGGTTCAAGATAAGCAAATACAACATATTTTCTTTCCATGAAGAGGCCATTACCCTAAGAGTCATAATCAGAAGGACCGTTCTGCACAAAAATGAGACAAAAATGCTCTTCCATCTCTATGGGCATGTTAAGGTGCCTGGAGCAATAAAGTGAACAGCAGTAATTTGGGCAGGAGCTGGACTATAACTAACTACATTCAGAGCCACTGGGTTTTTTTGTTTGTTTTGGGGTTTTTTTTTCAGTCACTGTTAGCTTCTGTTGCAAATTGAGATAGCTGGGCTCTGTGGATGTTTTCCAGAGCCAACTAAGTTCAGTTACGTGGCTTGGGCTGAATTTCCCTCTCCTGCCTTCTTCCATCTTTTTTTTTTTTTTCTCTTTTGCTGTGGGGAGAGGATATCTGTGGTGCAGGAATGGGCCCCTTGCTCTTGCCGTTCTGGACATGCCATGAGGTCTTGATGTTCATGCATGGGCAGTAAACACTCGCATGGACACTAGGTTATGGCTTAATTCTTCAGGAAATGCAGAGAGCCCACTGCTAATGCAGTGCAGAGCTGGAGGCACCACATCCCCCAAGTGTGCAGGAGATCCCAGGGACAAGGGGACACAGCCTGAGACTGGCCAGCCTTTGCTGGCCTGAAGCAGATGACATTGAGGGGGGGAGTGTGGCAAAAGCTGTCCAGTCTTTCCATAGATAGTGTAGCACAAGATCACCCTGTATCCAGTCACAATCACATTAAAAATAAGGAATAATTGTTTAAAACCAGCTGACATAAAGCGTTTTAGGTTATGGACCTTCAGATTGACCCAAGAGTGAGTATATTTCACTGAAATGATTTAAGTGTATGATAGCAAAGGGAAACTTGTACAGTTCTGTAGCTCTTCCAACACAAACAGGCTTTTTGTTTTCAGGAGAAAATTAAAAGAGTTGTTAAATATTTGCTCGCAGCAATAGAAAGTCTTGGGTGGTTGGGCAGAACCCAGACCTGCCTTTTAAAAGATTGCTTTTTTTCCAAAGGTCCTGTAATTATGTTAGAAGAAGAATACTATTTCTGTTGTCTGAAATTAGATGAATGCAATTGCGTATGCCATTCAATTAAAAACAAATTAGCTAGTCATTCATTTGGTGTTATGCAAATATATGTGAAATGCAAGAAGTCCCAGCAACATGAATGTGCCAGTTCATTATGCAATAGTACTGTGCCTCAAATTCAAAATCTTTCAGTAATAAACAGCATTTCTCCTCCCCTTTCTCACAAGCAAAGCAAAACATGTCTTTGATGAAATTGGTGTGCTGCGTGAAACTATTCCATAATTACTAAATGGACAGTGTTGTAATTAGGTCTCATTAGCTAGAGCCATGGTTTCTGGAGAAATACTATTTATGGATACTGTTACATAGAATTTTGTCATATTGGACCAAGTCCATCAATACTCTTATCAGAGAAAAAATATTTAAAGATATAAAATTAAGAGAAGCAATTTAGGAGCTTTTCTGTACTTTTTGTTTTCTGTCACTTTTTCCAGTCACCTCTGGTGCTAATGTATGGTAATAAACTTGATAACATTTAACAGAGCTTTGAATGCTCACCATCTACAATTGTTATATCTACTGTGGGTATACCTAAATTCCTGTGAAGCGGAAAAGTTTGTTTTAATAATAATACAGGGGAGCTTTTTGGGGGAAGGAAGCAGAGGTATATATGCATCCCTGTATGTTGAATGAGTGCTTCAATGTTGGAAAGGTCATAGACCTTTATGAAAGCTGTAGAGGAGCATGAGGCCCCTACTCGTAGAATCTTCCTTAGGGATTTTTCTAGGTTTATTTATTGTATTAGAATATGCAGGATACAATTGTGTTGGAAAGAAGTGGAAGTATGAGGATCTGGAATAGAAAGAAAGATGCAAGACATGAAAGAGAATAATCTTTGAGAAATGCTTTGGAGCACATGTAATTTTTTTTTTTTTTGTCACAGTAATTATGTGATTTTTTTACATCCAGCATTCTCTGAGCTCTTTTCAGGAAAACTCACAGCAGCTTGTTTGTATTACAAACCTGTGCTGTACCTAGGCTGTATTACAGCCTTTTTTCCCCCTGCTGGGACTTGGTTATCAATAGGCTGGTCCTACAGCCTGTCCGTACCCTCCCTTGCGGAGAGGCAGCAGGAGAGCAGCTACTCCAGGGAGTTATTTAATGTGTCTCAGGATTCTGCTGTGAGCTTGCCTCGCTCCCATCTTTTTCCCATCCCCTGTGGAGGCAGCCAAGGACTTTTTTTCAAGCAAGCATCCAGTTCTCCAATTTTTAAATGGCCTATCTAGTGTTAAGTGGCAGCAACACTCCCTTTCTGTGTGTTTTGACATCTCCAAGCAATGCAGTGTTCGGGAACAGATAAAAAAGTAATATTTTAATTCATTGAGGCTGCATTGCAGCTGCTCAGGACCCTGCCCATTTAAGTAGTTTTTAGAACAAATTAATAGGAAGAATATAGATGAGTGAATGCGAGTCTAAATGGGTAGATAAATTCAATTTTCTTACCAGGAACAGTTTATAATGTTGTATGTGGATAGCTGAGTGGTCTCTAAGTTTCTAAAAGTAATAGCATTATTTACAATCTTTTTTTACTTTTCTTCTTTAATGTCAACTCAAAGCAGTTTTCATATATTCCAGCAAAAACACACAAATCAATTTTACAATAAAGTGAATATTTCACTTGATTCCAATTCAGTAAAGGACAAAGCATTTTTATCCTCATTTTAAGTATCTCTTGGCTTCCCTTATTCAATAATGAATAGTAAAAATAGTAAAATAGTAAAAAACAGACAAAACAGAAGGGATATATGTGTATGTGTGCTTGGAGGCAATATGGTGTCTGGAATAAGGGTCATGTTGGTAATACAAGTTTTGTAATATTTTCCATTTGATTGTAATTTGTTTATTCATCCTGAAACATTATTGTTCAATAAAATAAGCCATCTATATACTAAGCCAAGTTTCCAGCTGTTTATAAATAATTTCAAGAGGAGAAATTCCAACTGTAATGGTCTGTAACAGGATTAGATTTTCACTTTCACCGGATTTTTTTTCCATGTTTTTTATCACTCAAGGTTTTTATTTTCCTTTTAGATAAGATATTTCTAGTTTGGCATTAGGAATTATAACAGTGATTTGGCAAGGAGGTTATATCCAATTTTATACTCTATTTTCATAGCATTGTTGTAGATAATTTTACCTTAAAAAGTATTATTTGGAAGCTTGGGAAAGGGATTGGTGTGGCCATTGTGTGCAGTTGTATTTCAGTTATTTGAGGAGCTTGGATAGCTATAACCCCTTGAATCTGAGAGCAGTTAAAGGGGCTCTTAACTGGTTTTCCAGTTGCCCACAGCCATGGAACCAAGGGCTGCTGTATTCCCTAAATGCACACACTGAACACACTTTTGGAAATCTGAGTTGAGAAACCCATCTTAGCTGCTGAAAGGGAACTCCATGGAAAATATTGAAGCTATCAAAAATCGCTTGCTTACAGAAACATGAGAGAATGATAGAAAATAAATTGTCATGGCTTTCCTCCCTCTGCCAAGTGGGAATCAAGGAAGTGAGAGATGAGAAGATAACAAAGTACCCATTTGACAGTTCCAGCCTTTTTAGAAACTTGATTTCTATTTTGCTGCAAAGAGACTGCCAAGGATAACAGGTTTAAAAATTATCCTATGATGAAGTGGTTATTTATCATGATCTTCGTGCCTGCAGTAGTAAATCGTACTTGGCATCAGTAGAACATGAGAAACTCATTCCAAAGTCAATTAACATGTTTTATTAGTATAACATCAACTTCAGAGTTAATGGGATTTACCCATCATTATTAACAATCAGATTTTCATGCAAGTTGCACATCTGCAATGTACAGGACTTGGGACACTCAGTATTTTTGCAAAAGGCCTGGGGAGTTGGAAGGTGACAGGGTGCCCCAGGTGTCTAAACACAGCTCAGATGCAGCACCTGCAATGGGGAGAGCGGATGGGAGGTGCTCACACGGTCACTTGCTGTCTCTGCTGAGATGCTAAAGCCTCTTATTCTTTGCTGTTCTGCTGCTGTGTCAGTTGGAATCGTCATAAAAATGGGATTTTGTGCAGTTTGCTGCTTGATGACTGAGGCCTTTTCCACTCCTCCATCATTCCCTCTCCCTTTTACATACAACCACGTGAATTATGTGCATGTTATAAGTAGTAGGTTTATATCCAGATGGTTAGTAATGGCATATTCATTGTAACAATTCCTATTTCTTTTTTTCCCTCTTTTCTTTCCAGTGTAAAACTCTCTCTGGCGTCTGTGATCATATTATCTCACTCTCTTCTGATCCTCTGGTTTCCCAGTCTGCCCACCTTGAAGTGATCCAGCTTACAAACATCAAGCCAAGTGAAGGGCTGGTAAGAAGTACGCAGTTAATCAAAACCATCATCCAGAATGAGAAAGTGATTTTCTTAATAAGATGTGTAAATATAAAGGAATAGGAGACTTTAGGCTTTGTTTGATTTTCTTTCTTTCTTTTTTTTTAAAAAAATCTGAAATATTTTGATTTCTCCTGCAGCTGGGCCAATGGGAAAGTAGTTTGTAAGGCTGGCCAATATATGAGAAAATTTAATAAATGGGAAAAAAAAGAAAGAGAAGTTCTTGCCATTTATGCCAGCTTCTGAAAAGTAGCTCAGATGATAGTGCTAGGATCTTGAAGCCTGAAGGGATTTAAATTGCTAAGATCAACTCAACCAAGAAGTTTGCGTGGGTGCACAAGAACTGTCAAATTCTAGAATTTGCTTCATAGTATCTCTGGGATATAAAGATGTCTCATAAGTTATTCAAAAACTCTACAGCACTGCTAAGAAGTAGCTTGTTGAATTTTATTGCGAAAACTCTGCATACTTAATCAGGTGGTTGTGAAAGCTCAGTGATGTTCATGAGCTGACCATTGATCTTTCAAGTACTCAAGTATCCAACACCCACAGCGTGGGGGAAAACCCACTGGTAATGCTTACAACTGTTCTTCTTTATATCACTAATAATATCTCTTCCCATCTGCCTTGGAGAGAGTAAAAGGTGATCAGAATTCAGTTAACCACTTTTTGCCTAGTGAAATAGCTTTTGCACCTTCTGCCCGAGTTTATTCTCGTCGCATTTAAGTAAGAAGCATTACTGCTCCACTCTTCTGTGCAGCCATTTTTTTTTTTTTGGTTTGTTTGGATGTAGTTTTGGAGAATATTTGGGGGGTTGTGGGTTTTGGGGGCTTTGTTTGTTTTTTGAAAATTTGATATACGAAGGTTTTTAGGTTAATTATTCACTGATATGTCTCCTTTGAAAGATCATAATTAAAACCCAAGATAAAAATCTTTGGGATGAGTAAATATTGGCCCATCCTTTGTTTTGTTCTACTATTCATTTCTTCCCTTCTCCACTGGCTTTCTTTTATAAACTCTGAATCCGTTTCAGAGCGTGCCTCCAGAATTTCACCTTTTCATGGACTCTCTATCTCTCTTCCTCTCCTATTAGTTTTCTCACCTTTTTGCCTGCTCTCAGCAGTTAGTCTTTCTAAATCCTACCTCCTGCTGTATTGAAGGAATTCTCTTTTCTCTCAACCACCTATTTGAATTTCTGTCCATTTTTGTCGTAGCTTTTAATTTTTCTCCTTTCTGTCTTGTGACTTATTTTTTTTTTCCTCATTTGCGTCTTTCTGTAGGGTGGTGTTAACCTCCAGTGATTGAAAAGTGTTAAGAGCAGAATTTTTTTATAAAGAATGATGTCTTTACGTGGGTGTGTTTCAACGTCTAGCTGATCGTGTAGAGATCTTTCCCTTTCCCTGTGCCTCTGTTTTCACCCGTGTCTGTCTTGTCTGTTGAAACTGGGAGCTCTTGAAGCAGGGCTTATTTTTGGGATCTGTGCTTGTGAACCAAATGGACGGGGTCATGCTGCTGACTGAGAAATTCCATGTCATTATCTCAAAAATAATTGCATGTTTTTATTTTTCTTTTAATGGAAAGGACGGATTGTGCAAGCCTTGTTCACATGCCTTAGAAGGATGCAATGCTATTTTGATGCAGTGACCTTTTTTTCCCTCCTTCCTTCTTACCTGTATGCCTCAGTTGTGTTGCCTCTGTGCTACATTGCGTCTCCTAGACTGTAAGCTCTCCGGAGCAGGAACCAAGGTCCATGCATCCGTGCTGGGAGCTGCACATCGTGCTTCTCGGGTTGTTACAGTCCCAATCACACTAGCAAGCTGTTTTGTCAGCTTACTCTTGGTGCTTTGTATGAAAGCTTTTGGTTTTGCTTTTTTAAACTAACATCTTTCAGTTAAGATACAGTGGACACCTGTCAGCGCAATATGCTGTTGAGTATTAAGGGTGTCAGTTTAATAAATGATGGTAGAGCTTGACGTTATGTTGAGCGGCTGCACATCAGGAGCACTTACATAAATGTGAAGCTCAGTAACTTCTGGACCGTCTTCTGGGATGCGTGCAACAATGGAGGTGGAAAGATGGATTACGGCCAACTTTCTTCTCAAGCTTCGACCCCTGTGGAGGCTCCGTGCTGGCTATAATGTTCACGGAATGAAATGCTAGCCCTGTAAAAATGGAAAGACTGCAAGCAGAAAGCAGAGGGCAAGGATGGCTGCTAACCTAGAAGATGTTCTGTAGCAGGGATACATTGTCTCAAACAATACCTGAAAAGTTAAAGTAAATCAGGGAGAGAGAAAGGAGAGGAGGAGAAAATAAAAGGCATGGAAAACACTGTAATTTCTCTAAACTCATATGTTAAATACATGACAGATTTGGGGAAATAGTTGAATTTTTTATAACATAAAACAAATAGGAGCACTGCCAGGATGTTTTAATCAGTTTAAATATTTCCTTCTCTACAGTTAAACTTTTTCTGTGGGCACGTAAGTATCAGGCTGAGGTACGTGTCAACTGTCCAAACTAATATGTTACTGCAGGAGCACTTAAATGTGTTATATGGATTGCAGCATCTTACAGATATTAAACTAACTAATGTTTACCAGAAAAACAGACTAAAAAACCTGACAAGGAGAAAACATGTTTATGGTGCAGTATGGAAAACTGGTGTACTTGACTCAAAACTTGACTCAAAACAAAGTAGTTAGTTAGTTAGCAAAGAGTGGGATATTCTATGCATTTTGTTAGATAAAAAGCAGATATCCAAGTTATATTCTGCTTTACCTTGGTAAGTTTTCATTGAGCAGTTCCCTATGGGTTTTTTCATTTTTTAAATTCAGTATAGAATATAAGAGGAGAACTATGATACAAGTTAATCTTGAATTGCATTTTTTTTCCTGTTCAAACTTTCATTTTAATTCTGGACTGTTCATGTGCTATGGCATGATTTCAAATTCTACTTCTTCACTTAGTCATCTAGATTCTTGTGAAGGTATGAAGGTGATTATGCCAGAACAGTAGACTAATTTTGCTTGGTTCCTCTTTGCTTGTTAAAGAAAACACAAAATCAGCCTATTGTGCAAAAGTGCTCCTGAAATACAAATAGCAGATAGTGTAGCTGGAGGTCTAGTTAGGAAGAAGTATTTTACTGAAATCCAGTGTACTATTATTTATAATATTCCTCCAAGTTATTTGGCCTGAAATATTGGAAGAGTTGGAAAATAAAAAACTATGAACAATTTTCTGAAAGCTGCTTGGACGTTTGGAACACATTTCTGGGCTAAAGAGGCATGTGCAACCTTGGGAGACTGCATCAAGATGCCAACACAGTGAAAGTAAAATTTTAATTAGGTATATGATGAAATTGAATTAGTATCTTCTTATGTGCTTTCTGGCATTGTGTACTATATGCAAGCATATCAAATTCTATTGTCAGTCTTAAGAAAAATAAAAATCCAATGTTTTTGTTCCAGCCTTTAACGGAGCAATACTTCACACCAATGTAGAATGTACTGACTTGTTTGGATTAGACTCTTACCCTCAGTTGATCAGAACAATCTGTGCAATGTGTTACCTGGTCTTTGAAGAAAGTGTACTTCCGTTCTTGATACCTATGGTGGTTGCCTAACTTCAGGCATGTGAACTGAATTAACTTTCCGTTTGTTTGGCATAACTAATTCTTGTGAATTTATAGGGACTTTGGAGTTACCTTTTGATACCTAAGATTTGTTTCTGCTGACCTATTTTGGTAGAAATGAACAGTGCACATTGAACACCTTGCACTCTTAATCATGGAGTACTGTTAATACTGTGTAGCCGCAAGGAGACAAAGAAGGGAATATTTGCAAATGCCTGTGATACTCTTCTACAGCAGAGTAAATCCTAGAAACATTCTGTTTTCTGTGCCTTTTCCCGTATATCGTTGTTCACCTAAAACAAGCAGTAGAGGTAGGTGAACAAAAGTGTGGATCTCATTTCAGTTACGTTTGGTTTTGGAAATGGCAAAACACTGCATTTCCTCATTCAAAAAAATTCTATGTAAACATAATGATGTTGTCTCTTGCAAAATTGACAGGATGTAGCAATAGTGTAACATTTTTAGTTTTTTGTGTGCGTATGGAATATATATACTTTTTTTGCAGCTTCCTTCTTTCTCCTTCCTCCCAAAGTGTTCCTATTTAATTCTTGTTCTTAGCCTTTAAGGAGAATTCTTCAAAAATCCTCTTTCCTCTTTTGGTTTTTGAAAGTCTTTAATTTCTAGAAAAGACCAAGTTGGACAAGAATTGCAGTCCACCACCACAGCATATAATATCCTTACTGTCCTTCAGATTTATGTTTTGCACAAAGCTAAGCACTGCATAAGCAGCAAATGTGAGACTCTATCCTCTGCTTTCAGCCTGATGTTATTCACTGTTTCCTTATTCTATGATATTATGATTTGCGTGTGTTCCTGTCTTGTACTGGCTTCATTTTACAGGTTTCGTTCAGATCCAAATGGAAATTCAGTTGTTTTTTCACATTTCACATCACCTAGGTTTGATGAAGTAAAGTTTTGTAATATTTCAGTGAAACATTGCTGGTAGTTTTAGGTTACTGTTGAGCCACTGAATTGTTGGTACAGAAAATGTAACATTGATAAACGCAAAATGAAAACAGATGATAAATCATGGTTATTATTTGGATTAGTAAAAAAAAAAAAATCCTTCCTTTATTATCTAAATCACAGAATCCCAGAATCCCAGAATGGTTGAGGTTAGAAGAGACCGCTAGAGATCATCTAGTTCAACCCCCCTGCTCAAGCGAGGACACCTAGAGCACATGGCACAGGGTGAAAATGCTTATGTTGAAACAAATAACTCATTAAAGTAAAATTAAGACTTTCTTCAGAAATTATCCTGCACAGACCTGCCACCAGTGAATCTGTGGCTTACACTGATGTGAGTGCCTTCAGCAAGCAAGGCCAGATGGCCCAGCCCTTAGCACTCGGTCTCCTCAAACAAAGTTGGCCTGATTTCAGCTCCTGACCGTGTCCAGTTGGGTCAGGACATTTAGATCCATATTCAGGCCTATCCAGGATTTAGGTCCTGATTTTCATCGTTTTGGGGATAGGTAGTAGTTGCCAAATGTACTGATGTATCTCAATCTCTTGTGTGGCTTATTTCCATGCCTGTAAAATGTGTTTATATTAGTACTTCCCTACCTCACAGGAGTGTTGTGAGGATAAATGCGTAAGAAATTGCCATGAGATATTTGAGATAACTGAGTTAAGTAGGAAAGCAAGGAACCAGTTGAAAAAAAGTATTTAGGATTCATAGAGCTGGAATGCGGAGCAAAATGACAGAGGGTTCCTGTCTGTGTAGAAATGAGCAGGTTCTTGCTTTTTTCTCACCAAGCTGTAGCAGCCCAACATGACAATTGGAAATGGTGCCATGAATTTCTGCTGCAGACCGTGCAGAGTAAAAGACAAATTCAGTTTTGAGCCCCCTTTCAGAGACAATATCATTTTTTTTCCTGAGGATATCATCCAGACTGTTAACCGGGGAGGAAGCAAGGGCAAATCCTTTATCCCACTACAAGAACATCTGCAAGTTCTGGTGCCAGATTAGGTCTGCCCAACTGATAAAAGTTTTCTCTGCCTGTTTACTTTATTTGGTCACTGGTGAGCACACCATGTTCCTCAGCTAAGAACAGGCTTTACAGTGGTACTTGGATTAAAAGAAGAAAAGTACATCCTGAGGATGATATTTAGTGCAGTGCTTAGTATCTACCTGCTTTCTATGAACTGGTGAGAGCAAGCAAGGTACTTCAGAACTTGTTGCAAATGCGGTGTATGCCAGTTATCTTTCTTCTTTCTTTTTTCCCACTGTCTTAGTGGTGCCATTAAAATGTAGTTTGTATGTTGACTCAGAGAAAAAGCAGGTTTGAGAAACTTAACTCGAACCACCCATGCAGGAACTTTGATCTTTTCATAAGCTGCTGTGCACAACATGGTTCCTGCTAATATGTCAATAGTCCTTCTTTTCCGTATTTTTTTTCAAAAAAAAAGTCATAGCTAACAAAGATGACATTAAAATTGTCATAATTGAGCTTTAGAGCTCATTGAGATGAGTGAGGCAATCAGAGAGTTTCTAAGACGAGTCATTTTTTCAGGCATATTTCAGAGCATCAGTTAACAGTTTGAAAGTTATTTTTGCAGCATTGCCTACTAGAAAGCACAATTCTTTTAAAACCATCTTCCAAAAAACTTGCAGAAAGAAATGGAAGTATTGATCATCTTAAGGCAATTATTAACTGTTTTTGTAAGCAGATGCTACTGTTGTTATATTTGTTGTTTATGGAGTACATAAAGAATATTTATGGAGATGACTGGTAAAAGTTTTAAGTTTCTATTGCTGCATAGGGGTAGCTACGTTTGTGCTGTTCTCTAAGTATGTGATAAAGCAGAGACATATTCCTTATGGCATATGTTAATTTAAAGGTCCACACATTAATGCATATGTATGTATATGAAGCTTTTATTTTTAGAGATGTGCAAGTTATGTTTGGATGGTGATGGTTTGTGAAACACTTTAAAATTTCTTTCCCATGATGTCTTTTTCTTAGGGTATGTACATTAAATCAACATATGATGGTCTCCATGTAATTACTGGAACAACAGAAAATGTAAGTATTGTTAATACTGTCTGTTCAGGCCTGGCAGCCTTTTTGATCTTACCTATGGTTTATGCTTTCCCTTTGCTATAGACTACATTTTGCTTGCAAAAGTGTGCTAGTTGGCTGTTAAGGACCAAAAGCATGTTGGACGGCAGAAGCGCTTTTGCTTGTTTATCTCAGAACTGAAAGAGTTGTTTGTAGCTGAGGTCCAGGAGAACTGATTTTGATTTGTTCATGCAAGCCACTTACTTAAAACACTTCAGCTGATCGAGATGAGAGGTAGCTATCTTGGAGTTACCTTGCACTGTATATAGAAGATAAATGTCTTCAATAACTATAGACTGATATGCAGGAGTTCATTGTAGTATTGGAAAAACAGCTTCAACATTTTCCATCTATTGATCTTTATTTTGTAATAAATAAATGCATGGAAATGAGGACATCCCTTCATGTTGACAAGTTTCTGCATGAACTTCTGAATAATGCCTATAGAAAGGGAAACATTATTGGTGCACTAGTTGTCATGGAAGGTAGCAAAACAGCAAGCAAAACATAATACGCTACTTTTAAACTCTCTTTGAAATACACTCTCCTTGTACACCGTCTTTACAGAACTGGTTGTGTCTGATAGGGAATGGGCAAGAGGATCATTTTTGGCCTTTTCCAGGCTTTAATGCATAATCTTTGAGAAACACCGAACAGGCCACTAAGCTATGCTGAATTGCTCCATGACGGTTGAAGCAATTCCTTTTGAAGACTCTGATGACACTTTCTTAAAATGAAGCTGTAAGAACTACTTGTTTTATCCTGCTACTGTGTCATATTCTGGAAAACACAAACCACACATGGTATTTACAGCTGTTGCCTTGGATCAGCCATGGTGTTTTGCTAGTATCTCATGGGACAAGAATAGAATTCTTGTTTTCATCTCTTCATTGGAATTGCAATCTGGAAATCTTTATTCTTTTGCTGTGGACAGGATGTCCATGGGATAACATTAGGAAAACATAAGAGGAATTTCAGCCTTCCAATCAAAAGTCTGGGGAGTCAAACCTATAGTTTCAATATCATTAGCATTAGCAAAACTAAGACAAAAGAAAAGTTGTGCAAAATCTAGAAAACATATGGAGAAGAGATGATGTTTTTAAAGTGGAATTTCCCTCAGATTAAAAAAGGAACCATTTTCTCTCCATGAGTTACTATTATTGGATTTAATTTCCCAGGGGCAAAGATAAGAATAAAATCTTAATGCATTCCCTCAAAAATCTTATCTTTCATGATTCATGAACATAATTTAAAGCTACATCAGGAAGCTTCAGTCATGATGACTTTTCTGCTTTGTTATTGATACTTTCACTTGCTATAAGACTCTGGAGGTACTCAAAGCAAATGGAGAGACTGGAATCTGCTATCCAGGGAAAGACAAATTGTGTATTAAAATGAAAATAAGAAACACCTTAGGAAAGTAATGTATCTCCTGCTTTCAAAGACAAAGTTTCTAGCCACTTGCTTAAAAACAAACAAACAAATGAAAAAAAAAACCCACCCAAGTATGATTTTGATAGATGGGAGGAGAAACATCAAAGGAACATGTCAAAATAAGGTCTGGGGCAAATGTGTGAGCTGACCTCTTCATACTGACATTTTTTTGCCATTTGTGGTCTTACTGGACTTCTAGAAAACAGTAAGAATCCAAATTCTTTTGCCTTTGAACAAAAGCTTGTGCCTTTTTCTTTCTGATTCTGCTACTTGAAATGAGATATTGGCACAACTTTTTATCTGAGCCTTTCCTGAAAAATCACAGAGAAGCCCTTGTCTTTTTAATAAATGCAGTGCTTTATCAGTGCTGACTGTGTAATATAACTCCGTGGGATTTTTATCCACCATCCTGCACTATCTGTTTGTAATTCACGGTTATTAGAGTCCAGCTACCAAGCCCAGAGCGGTGTGGATCTTGCTGTTCAGCAGTAGCAGACTGGCCCTGCAGGTCTGCATGGCCAAGCTCTGAAACTCGAACTGAGAAGGAGCAGAGCTTCTTAAAATCACTGCCCTTCCTTTCAGAGCTTCTCCCTAAAGGTCCTGTAGCATTAGAGCAAGCTGATCTTTCTGGTTCAATTCTTCTCTCTCATATTTGAAAGTAGCAATTGCAAAGGCTGTATTGGTCCAGCAAGAGAGTATAGCCTTCTTGTTGAGTGATAATCTTTTAATTCACAAAGCAAATGTTTTCATCAAAAAAGTAACTCTTTAATTTAGTTTTCTAGTTAAAAGGAGTATTTTCTAAGTCATATCATGAGTTGTATCTGTCAACGTTCTGGTTTACAGCAGGAGTGCAATTTTGAAGTAAGGCCTTTCAGGGTCCCCACTTACTGTGTAGTGGTTGAGTTTGTAGGGTGCTTATAGAACTCAGAAAAGAGACACATTCAAAAGAAATGATGCCTGAGTTTCTACTCAGTCTCACTGAGTCACTGATGCCTGAGTTTCTACTCAGTTTCTACCCAGTCTCTACTGGGCACACACCAAATGTGGTTCAGGCCCTAAGGGAGGCAGGAAGGTCAAAATATGTTTTTTTTATACTGTGGGTGTGTTGGAGGGGAATGGGACAAAGAAAACATTTAGCCTAGAGGACACCACTAAACCACATCTGAAGTAAGATCCCTTATCCTCATATGGGAAGATTGTGGAAACCTACTACCAGCTCCTGTAGATGTATCTGTGATGTGACACACTTTGTTCCTTATAGGGGGCTTCACAAATAGATGTTTGCTTCATGATCAGCATACACATCTTTAAGAAGAAATAGCCTAGCAATTCCCCTATCTTCCTTAAATGATGATTGATAAAAGTTAACTATTTCTCAACTGTAAGGTCTGCTTTCCTTATCTGGGAGAAAAACCAGTAAGGTACAAGAGCTATGATCTCCCAATAAGACCACAGGTTTGAACTCTTGTAGAAAGGATTTATATCTAACCTTGCAGTATATTAATTCCCAGGCATAATTACAATGATTTTTTTATAGTCCAAAGACTCTGAGATCATGTTTTACAGATTTGGCAAACGGCTACACTCAAAATTTCTACGTCTTTCTCAAGTTTAAGCTGTAAGTGCTGAAGTTAGTACAAGGAAAAGTTAGTATTGTAATGAAACCCCATTCATTACAATGAGTGGGGTTCAAGCAAAATGGCAGGATTCACTAGCATAGACACTTTGAAGGTCTTATGTGTAACTGCGTCTGAACTAAAGTACAGCAAGATTATAAAGATCTTTGAAATGTATGATGAGTAAATTTGAATAGTGTAGTGATAGGGAAAAGATAGATCAGTGGAACGCAGCTATTACTGTTAAAATTTTTCCTTCATTGATCCAACTTCTTTAACACTGGAAAAGTGCCAGATAGTTAGGCTACTTTTTCTTTTTTTTCCTTTTTTTTTATGTAAGTAAAGTTACATCTTTATTAGCCCAGGATGAGTAGGATGCCTGCAAGACCTCAGTTGTGAGTGACCCTCCTTCTACCCTCACGTTTTCCTTGAATATCTTCTGTTTTAAAACAGTTCTTAATTTAAGCCATGAATGAAATGGAATTGCACTAGAAAATCATGGTATGTCTGTGGGAGGGGAAGTAGTAGGTAGATTATTGCAAACAGTCCCCATTTCAGGCTAGTATCATATGCCTAGATGTCACATCTCACCAGAGCTGGAAAATGCTGAAGTGAACTCAGTTCTTTCTGCAAAATTCATAGCAGCTCTTTGCAATCCTACTCCGGAGTACTTTGGGTTTTTTGTTTTGTTTTAAACTGTCACTCATGTCTTTTACCTTTAAGGTGATTAAACAACTTCATAGGCTGGCAGCTTTCGTGCTGAGTAAGAAAAGCAAAAGAATTATCACTCTGTGAAAAGCTTAATGAGATTACTCGCCTTTAAAAATGGGGGAGAGGGAATCCCTCAAAAAAGAGGTGATCTGTACATGCAGAGGGCATAAGAGGAGAAAAGGGTCTTTTTCCTCCCTGCTTTTCTCGGTCAAAAACAAAGAAAAAAAGTACTTTGCATTTTGAAAGTATGATGATCTTAGTAGGATTTTGATTGCAGCTGCATTTCTTTCCTTCTACCTAATAATAACCCAGACATGAAGTTATAATATAACTTTATGGTCTTCCTTGATGGTGCCTAATCCTCTGTCCTCATATACACTGTGAAGAACAGTGATTTGCTGAAGTTCTCAGGAACATACCAAAGCATCTGGAATAAAAAGGGAATGCTGTGAAATTTATTTTTGAATAAGTTGCTGTTTAATCCTGATGGAGTTAACATTCAGCCAAAGATTGGCTTCAAAAGCTTAAGACATGTCAGGCAGGTAAAAGCAGTTTTTCTGCAGATTGAAATTAAATGAAATCTTTAAGACCATTTCACTCTTTAACAAAATAAATATTTATACCTTTCTTAAACTTGATTGTCTTGGTGCAATAGTGCAGATTACATTTCTCCAAAAGCAGTTAATTGATTTAAATATTTCTTTTTTTCTTTATTTCACAATGGAATGTAGCTATCAATCTAATCTGACGTAGTTTAGCAATCATACTGCTGAAAGAGAGATGATGACCTGTAAGAATTGTATTCTTTATCATCTCTTTTATTTTAAATTCAGTCACCTGCAGATCGGTGCAAGAAAATCCATGCTGGAGATGAAGTGATTCAAGTTAACCACCAAACTGTGGTATGTATAACTATGTTCTGTGTCAATTGGAGATAACGGTGTCATGGCACACCAGCATGTGTAGAAAAGAAATGTGTAGAAAACTGTGTTTTTATAAGACTTTTTTTTATTCTAACAGCTAAATTTTTCTCTTCTGAAAATACTTTGTTCTTAATTCTTATAACATGCAACGCTTAACCCTGCTAGTCTGAGTATCACTGGAAGCAGTATCAAGTTAGGCTAAATAATTGAGGTTTGGGTTAAGTTAGGGTGTTTTCTGCATATGCTCTATTAATAAAGGCTTGTTTTTGTATAATAGAAAGTTTGGTTAGACTGAATTCAAGGATTTGGAACTGTTCTGTCCTTGTAGGTTCAGGATCAACCTTGCTTGCTGGAAGCTAGCAAACCTCTTACTTTCTAAACTTACAGGAATATGTAGAACACATCTATTTCAAAAACAAAAGCAGTTAAAATTCCTATGTGTATACATCTTACATGTACATCTTAACTTAGATACACATTTTTAAACTGTAAAAGTTAAGATGAAACAAATCTTCTATGAAAGTATGAAAGTGTATGAAAGTATGAAAGTAAAACCATACACAATGCCCTGAGTGTCAAGAGTTGCCTGTTGGTCCCTGGTGATTATATTTAGGATAGATGAACTGTTAAAATCAAAATAAACTTCTTTCTAAGAGGGCTCAGTAATTGAAAGGAGTGAAGTTTCAATATAAATAGCAACTATTCTTTTTCTAAAGTATAGGCTTTCTTAAGGGTAGTGAAAGTCAGTATGTGGAATTAATCACATGTATTCTGGCAAGCACTTCAGCTGACAGAATATGATCCGAGATTTCCATTATTAATGCAACAATCATTTGTTACAAGTGTGTTTCTTCATTCCCCATAGAGTTTGACTTACAGCTTTAGGCCACACTACATCATGTCAGCTCCTCTGCACAAATTAGGATAATATTCCATTACACCCTCCAGCTAAGTTTAATATCAAATATACTGTACATCTATGGAACTTAACAGATGCAAAACTATTCAGCCAGGATACACAAATCGATAGGTCTAACCAAAATAGGGTGAAGACTATTTATCTCTGTATAATTCATGATAAATATTATTGTATCACGTGATTACTTACATGTACTCATGTACTGATGATAATGACTGATATTCTTTCCCATAAAGAGAGGTCATAACATCAGCATAACATAACAGGTTTTAAAAACAGTATTATTTTGAGTATCAAAATATGTGCAAATCGAAGTATGTGCATAATCTTTCAGTTTTTATGCTAGCTAGTTTTTCCTATAAATTTTAAAAGTACTTGTATAGTGAAGTTGCCTTGTCAACTTCAAAAATTTCCATCATATAAGTATTATTCTGTTTTTCTTGCCACATCTGCACTGCATTTATCTGACAAAAAAGATCAGATTCTTACCAAATGAAAAATGTTGTGACAAGCTTTAAGATGAACTTTGTTACATAGAAATTTTAATCTAAGATTTGAATGGTTTAGCTTTTGCAGATAAGAAACTATGTGCTGAAAAAAAAGATATCACAAAAAGGAAAAAAATTTTGATTGTGCTTCTAGGAAAAGGGAATATATGGAGCCGAGACTAATGTGATTTTAGTTTCAACAGCCACATTTGGTATAGAGGATATGTATAGCAGTAGAATAAAACATACAATTATATATGCTCTTGTTCTATCAATGGTATAATCAAATTAGCATATTTGATACTGTAGAGAAAAAATACTTAGATTTTAATATTGATTTTCCACAGTGAGAGTCAGTTAACATTTTCTTAGCAGTATAGCAGTAGTTTCCATGTTGCCTTTACAAAGGGGAATGTATCATTCACTTTGGAATTTAGAGAGATAGAATCTTTTATATATATTATGATTTTTTTTCCTTTTTGTTTCTTTTGGTAAGTGTCTAAGTTCTTTTATACTCTGGTGCCTCTCATGAGGTTCAAAATATTCAAAAGTGAATATTGTTACTCCCAGTGCTTCTTCCTCTGGAGTGAAGAATTCTGAAGGTATAGCATTCTGTCCTCTCTATTGATTTTTTTTTCGAACTCTACGTACTGCTCAACAGTTGAAATCATAGGCTCAGCCCTGCAGCTTGCTGCTTTCAATTCATCATTTATTATCATCTATATTGAATATAGAAATCAGGATGACTAGAGATTGCAAAGATTTAGCTCTAAAATGGCATGGTTGGTATATTACAGTTATTTGGATGATGTGTTGTAACTGGAGAATCAAAATCTAACAGAGTCTAACTTTAAACATTCATTTTAGGGGGATTTTTTTTCTGTATTTTCTTAAATTATTCCACTGTTTCTATTTGTCAAAATTAAGTTAATCTCTGGTCTTAGGCACTGTATCTTTCTAATAATGAGTACAAGCTTGAGAAAGAGAAGCTCCATATAAATACTTTTAAAAATTCAACTTTTTAGCTATCAAGAATCACATTTTAATTGTGAAAGTCTGTGGGTTTTTTTTCAGAATGGGCTGTTGATTTTGAAAGAGGCAGCATGACAAAGTAGAAGGATACTTACATGTCTTATATTGATTTTTATTACACATATCTCAGAATGAGGGGTCAAAATATGTTTTTCATTCGCTGTTGACATCCTCTGTTTTCTTGCGGTGATGCTTAATCTTCATAATATTTCATCTGGCAGTGAAATCAAAGGATTTCAAGTGAAATCCCTGCTCAGTTGGCAGAAACCATGTGCAACAAGATGTAATCCACCTGTATCTGGCAGGACCTCCAGAATATAAATACCTTCTGAATTTTTTAAACGAAAAATTAAGATTACACCTGAAGTCAATTTATAGTTAATGTTCAGAAAACTATCCCTTTTAAATTGTTGTGTATTGTGATTAGACAGCTATGTGAGTCTTCTCTCGATGTTTTGCCTTGCAGTTTGGAGTTTTTTTTTTTTTCAGATGGCTCAGTATTTGAGGGGCACGGCTCCCCCATTAAAATTCAAAGGATTTAGCTCCTGATTTCCCGTAGACTTCTATGTAACTTCAATTCTTAATCTGCTCTAAAAGCCTTTCTGTCTGAAGTATTTCCAATGCAAACATTAATTTTTTTTTTCATAATTTGCACTGTACTTTGTTGGTCATGTTTCTTCCTATACATTCAAGAGTATATTTATCATCAGTTTCTAGAGTCTGGAGGAATTTTTAGTGTCTACGCATGTATTTTTGATACAAGTATATGATATGATATGTAATGGAGTACGTGTATATGATTTCTACAATTTATGTTGGTTCACTAAAGCCCATTAGAACATGTAAATGCAGTCAGCAGAAAAAGTACATTTAATTTGGCAAAATAGACAAATGGTGATGTGTTTCATGTGGGAGCTGGTATGTTCTACATGCTTAGTGTCTGTGGGTTACTCTAGTATTTAGATAATACCTACCTTTTATATGGCATTTCCCTACTGTGGGAAATCCATTGGGCTCTTGTGAGCCAAGCTGAGACAGCAGGAGTTAGTAGCTGGAATTTGTTTTGTATTTATGATCCAAAAACCTTCAAGATTTTGCTAACGTTCTCCTGAAATGAGTGATTTATTTATTTATAAGATTATATGTTGCTTTTCCGCAAGTTTAAACTCTTTGGAAGGGTGTGATGCCTTTCTAGGCTTTCCTGTAACTTAATCTTTGTATAGAAAAAAAAAGGAATCAATATTTGGATTCGTTGTGAGAAGAGCTTAGTGCTTCCACAAAGACTCACAAGCTTTTGGGGAGCTGAGCCTTTCCAGTTGTTGGAAAATGCATTCAAAAAACAATGCAGCAAAATCACAAATTTTCAAATGAATTAGGCGTTGTGCTCAACGTCCTTCTGTTGCTGTTGTGTGTGTGCTTTTATGGAAGATGAGAGGGGGTATTACCTATCAAATCGTGATTTTAATCCTTTCCAAAATCCTTGGACTTCCTCTGCTTTACAACTTCTATGACTGTTGACAGGAATATTTCCTTTTAAGAGCAGGCGAGGTTTAAAGATGAAAGATTTTGAAAATAACCTAGTTCTCTGCAGGGCTCTATCCTGAACTCTGTAGTAAAACATTTTCAGGGTATGAGGGCCATACTTTGATTGTGGCAATTGTAGTCTTGCCTTATTCCCTCTCAAAGTTCCAATTCAATTCTTTATTCTTTTTTTAAAGTCTCCCTACGTATTACATGATATTGATAAAAGAACTGAATTGTGATCCTCTCAAAAGGAAATTATCCTTCTGCAAATTTGCAATTCACTTTAGTTGTAACATAGAATATGTGTTGAAATTATGTAATATTTATTTTTACACAGATTTCTTTTTACATAGATGTGCAAATGCACTTATATTTATATCCCGTATACCAGGGAAGTGTGATATTGCAGAGACAAGATATGTGAGGGGAGATGATCCTTGGTTTCATAACGTTGAATTCAAGTGTTTTTAAGTATAAATGAAAAAGAAACAAATCGGCAAACTTGACATATACAGATGAATTATGTTGTGCTTTCCAAGAAATACTTTCCAGGGAGAAAGGCTGCTCACGCGCTCCGAAGATGCAGTAGGAGTGAAAGTCTTTTAAGAAATCAAGCAAGTGTATATGTATATGTACCTAGATGGATTTAATTTTTATTTTCAAAAAAAAAAACTCTTTTGCAAATAAACTAAATATTTAGTAAAAATAAACCTACTGCAGCTCCATGGACAAACATTTGCTTTGGGAAAAGAGTTGCTCCATGTTTGCTTTTGATTTGATAGAATAGGAAGGGCCAGGACTCTCGTCAGTTCATCAGCCCAAATTCTGTGCATTGTTGTCCACTGATCTGTTCTTTGCTTCAGTCCACCAGGGTTGTTCACAGTCGATACTGGAAACGCATACCCCGCTTTGGGCTCATTTTTATGTAAACAGGGTATTGTGTCATTGGCACTTCTGGCTCAGGCGTGGCAAGTCGGCAAACAAACGCATCCGTGTTGCATCTGTGTTAGAGCAGC